TTTTTTTGGGGGGGGGGGGACTTCTTGGTGGTTCTTTTTACATTGCCAGCTTTTCCTCATCTAAGCAGGGTTGTCCACCTTCTCCTTGGCTGAAGGAAAGTGGCAGTCAGTGATGTGACTCCAGTCGATTCCTTTGGGGAGTTTCTTTGGGCTTGCTTTCCTAGCTGAGGTCCCCACAGACCCAAAGAGATTTTTCTAGACAGTATTAAGCCTATGTTACCTTCCTGTCAAAACAAATTCCCCCAAATAATTTCAGGGAGCATCTGAGAATAAAAACAAGACCCCAGCTTAATTATTTTACCCCTCTCCTCTGAAAAAGGCCATCTATGAAATACTAGGCTGGTTGTTAGCCTATGAGTTGTTTTTCTTTTTTAAAGCTAGACATTTCTATTTAGGGCTTTTTTTTTTTTTTTAAACACAAAACACATTTGTTTTAGAGCTGCTTTTTTCATAGTAGCTTTTCTGTGTGTGTGTGTTTTTTTTGTTTTTTTGAGAACGCTTCACTCTGGGCCAGCCCAGAGAGCCCCTACCGACTTTACTGAAACCCTTCCAAAAATAGCGACTTTCCCTGAAGTCATAGCCTGAGGAGGAACAAGTTGGGTTCCAAAGGAAGCTTCTTGGGAAACTTGAAGTTGTGAAAATTGGGATTTGGAAATGACAGACGTTTTGGTGTTAGAAGTGATATAATTCACTGGTGTGGCATACCAGGCATTTACGGTTGGAACTCTTTCACATGGAAGCAAGCTGCTCAGCTCAGTCTATTTAAATAGAAGAGAGAGTGGAGTGTATCCAGCCTGCTGGGAGAGTTATTGTAGCACAAGGGTCGGTTGGACAAGGGGGCTCTGTACCCAGGGACTTGGGGGGTATTCAGAGGGCTCTGGTGTCCCTTTGCTCCCTGTCCCCAGAGCTGGTAATTGCCAGTACTCAGGACCAGGACTGAGGTCCACATGGGGGCCTCAGGGCCCGTCATGCTGCCTCTCTGCTAGGAAAATGGTTTTAATTCGTGCCTGTCTATCTCAGATTGAGGTGACATTGTGTGAGCCCCAGGCCCGGGGCGTGTTCTATGAACAGCAGAGAAAGAAGTACCAATGTTCCCTACCTCTCCATCTCTTTTCCCCCCACCCCATTCTTTCCCAGACAACAAACCCTAAAATCACCCATTACAAAGCTAAGCTTCAGGTTGATACTGTACCCCAGTTCTCATGCTTCCTCCCCCCAGGAAAGACTTTGCAGATGGCAGGGAACAGCAGACATAAAGTGTCAGGAGCTGATGGAGTTTTTGCAGATTCTTGTGATGTCTAAAAGAATTCTAATCACATCCACATCTTTGACATGATAATAACTTCGCTGTGTTTGTGCTGACTTTGCCTGGAGCCAGTTGGATCAACTTATACATGACCTTATGTTCTGGCCGTAGCTTTATGAGCTAGGACTTGTCATTGTCAGCTTCACAGATGAGGGGACTGATGTTGCAGAAGCTTTAGTGGCAGGTTTTGCTAAGAGGCTCCTTGACTTTTGTATCTAAAAGAACAAGTGACCGTGGAGCCTGGGGGAAGGGAGCAGCAACTGTGGAGAAAGGCACCTCCTTGCCCTGCCACAGCTATGGCAGCCCAGCTCACTTGGAACGAGGGTGATCTTAGCAGAAAATGAGTCGGGGGGAGTTGCAGATGACCATCTTCTGTGGGGACTTCTACCCACTGACCCCTTTACCTGCTCTGCCTCTTGCCTACATCCACATGTGTCTCCTTCACAGGCCTGAGGACAGGAATGCTCTGCCCAGAATGTGGCCTGAGACCTACTACGGGGAGACAGGCTGCCAGAGCCTAGGGCAGGGCCCAAGAACCCTGGCTCAGGAGGCAGATGTCATGGGTTCCCACCCCAACTCCATTGAGGTGCTATGTGGCTAGCAGGCTGCATCTTCTCTCTGTGCCTATTTCCCTATGTATAAAATGGAAGTGGTGACAGTAGGACTCCCTGCCAAGGTCTTTGGGAAGATATGGTGAGATTACCTATGCAGGTGGCATCAGAGTGCTGGGGGTTGGAATCAGCAGGGTCAGCTGAGTGTGCAGAACCCTTTCCGGACCCCTCTCCCTGTGAGCTAGCTGCCTCTCCCCTACCTGAGACTAATGTTTATGACTAGATACCAGAGACAGAGGAGGCTGAGTCCCTGTCCCTGTGTTTGGATCCTCAAGGAGAGGGGCAGCCGCACAGCACTATTCTGGTGACGGAGGCATGCCCTTCTCCCTACTTCTCCAGTGATTTGTTGGGTCCAACTTATCTGAGAAAGTCCCACCAATGTACTTTGTGTTCCTGCTTTGCTTTCTATCCTTAGGCTTGTCCCACTGGGGGAAGAATTAAAAGTACTCTTCATTGCCCTCCCTCCATCTCCTGCTATGTGTAGCCCACCCCACCCTGCCCCACGTTTCCTTGTCTTTGCTCTTTGAGAAACATGTTAGTGTTTTTCCCCATTTCTACTAATTTCTTTTGTTTCTACTATAGTAATCCCCCCTTACCATGGATGATACTTTCCAAGACCCCCAGTGGATGCCTGAAACCATGGATAGTACTGAACCCTGTAGATCCTATATTTATTCCTATACGTGCATACCTTTTCACTTAAAGGAAGCATTTTACAGCTGCTTTTTGTCACATCTGAATTGCCAGCATCACTACTCTTGTGCTTTTGGGCCATTATTAAGTAAAATAAAGTTGACTTGAGCATAAGAACACAATACAGCAACGACTGATCTGATCACCAAGATGGCTACTAAGTGACTAATGGGCAGAGAGCATCTACAGCATGGAGATGCTAGACAAAGAGATGATTCACACTACTTAAAAAGGTGCACAATTTAAAACTTAAGAATTGTTTATTTCTGGAATTTTTCACTTAATATTTTCAGACTGCAGTTGACCAGGGATAACTGAAACTGTGGAAAGCCAAACAGTAGCTATGTTATCTTCTTGCTCCTTTTTTCTAGTTATTTTTTATTTCAGTAAAAGTGGTCCCTCACCCCCATAGAAAGCGATTTTCTCTCCTTGGGATACCCATCATGTGAGATGAGCCAGCCTGCTTGTGGCTCATCCAACTGTTAGTGGAGGTGTGTTGTGCCCGGTGCTGTGCTGGTACTCGAGGTAGGGGTGCACATGGATAGTCACTGCTGCTATAGGCTCGGCCAGCAGGCATCTGCCCCATCACCGGTGGTCGCTCACAGCAGACACAGAGGAGAGTAGGGGAACTTGAGCTTGCCCTCTAAGACACCCAGTTAGGTGGGATGGGGCTGGAAACCTGTTAGTGTGGTGTGGTGATGCAAATCCTATGGGACATCTGCAGGCACAGCTGGCAGGAAGGGGTGTCAGAAAGAGCTCTGGGGGCAGCAGTGCGGTCCAGCCAGTCTCTGAGGAAGTAGAGGGGCCCTGGTGGACAGGGCAGGCTGAGCTCCCCAGCTGGAGACCCTGTGTGCACAGGGGACCAGAGATGGGGCCCCAAGGGGTTCCAGGTACCAGGGAGTCTTAGGAGGGGATGGGGGGAGTCAGCAGGGATGAGGCCAAAGAATTAGGCAGTGGGGGTGTGATAAAGAGTACCTATGGGCAACAGGGATATATAGTGCTACCTGCCTACCCATCTACCTGTTATCTCTACTTATCTACCTACCTACTCACCGACGTATCATCTCTCCCTACCACCTACCTGCCTATCCACCTGCCTGTCATCTTTACCTACCATCTACCTGCCTACTTGTCATCTCTACCTACTTACTCACCTACCTGTTATTTCTACCTACCATCTACCTACTTGTCATCTTGATTTACATCTACCTACCTGTCATCTCTACCTACCATCTTCCCACTCACCCACCCACTCATCTTCCATGCATATGTATTTTGCAGGGGAAATGGGGTCCAGTTTGGGTTTGAGAGGGTGGGATGCTTTGCTGGTGGGAGCAGGGCTGGGGAAGGGTCTGGGCCAGAGGTGATAAGAGCCCCACAGAGGTAATCTTGGCCCTGCTGACGGGTAGGGATTGGCCAGGTATTCAAGGGTGGGCTCCGACCTGAGTCACCAGGTGGGCAACCGCCCCTGAGGACACAAAGAAGGTCTGGTGGTATGGTTCTGACCCTTGCCTGGAGCTACCTGTCACTGAATGAAGGAGGTGAAAGTGAGACACATCTCTGAAGCATGAGCAGGAGGCCCAGGGGACCCTGGAGTCAGAAGAGATGTTCCTCTGCAGGCAGAAAAATGTGTGTGGCAGGGAGCACACTCCCATGACATAAGCCCATCAGGACACAGGGCTGCTCTCACCTGCTCTGTGTTCTTCTCAGCTTGTTCCTCACAATATACCAGGAGACCCTGGCTATTCAGGGTGAAGGAAAGTGGGGGCTTGTAAGAGACCCCAGTCCTAGTGGGGTTTGAGTTGCACATCTCAGAGGGTGGGAGCCTCACCACGCTCTTGGTACTTGAGTGCTGGCTTGGTGAACATCTGTTGCTCCGTGTTAACAGTTATTTTTGCCTCTCTTTCGTGTCCTCTCTTACAGCCCCCACCTTCTGGTCCTTTCACCTCCTCCTTTGGAGGGGCAGGATTCTCCGATGACCCCTTTAAAAGTAAACAGGACACTCCCGCTCTGCCTCCGAAGAAACCTGCTCCTCCACGGCCTAAACCGCCCAGTGGTCAGTACACTTTCTTCTCTCACCGCCACCCACCCACCCACTGTCACAGGATGGTGGGGGACTGATGGCCCATTCGTTCACCAGCCCAGAATAGAGCTTTGCTGTGAGGTCTGTACTCAGAACAAGAGGATTTCCTTTCTACCCAGTTGCCTCGGTCCACTCATGTTGTGTGCCTGGAGTACTCCTCCCGCCCCATCCTGTGGGCCAGATTCTGTTCTGGGCCCCAGATGGTCTCCCAAAGGCGCAGGGCATAGTGCCTTCCTCAATGCAAGGAGATATGCCACATAGCTCCTGGCTGAGCATGTGGTGAGGGCTCTGCGGTCCCTCTGGCCTGCCCACCCCACTGAGCTTTTCTCAAGTTGGCTCAGTGTAGTCCAGGAGTGGGGACAGCAGCTGAGCCTGCCCCCTCAATCCAGTATTTCCAGACTGGTTAAGGACTCGGGGTGGAGTGTCAGGAGTGGAGATCTTCCTTGGCTGCGATTGATATGAGAGAAAGCAGGGTGCTCCCCCACTCCCACGCCACATCTCAGTAGATGACTCCCAGCAAGGGGCTTCCTGCAGACCCCACCTTGCCTGTCTGTGGCTGGCAATATAATTTTGCTCAGCCTTGGCCCTTTTTCCCTCTGAGGATTCTGGAGACTTTTAAGCCATGTGTGGGGTCTCTGTGTGATAGTGATAGGCCCACAGTCCAGGTACCAGATTTAAAAGCAGCAGAGGGACTCATTGCCATTTCCCAGTTCCTTTACTCATCCCACTTCCTTTGTTCTTAGCACCCTGGCTAACACATGTCTTTCATTCACTGGTCTCCAGGCAAAGTCTCACTCACACTGTCTCTGGACTGTGGGTGCTCCCTCAGTCCTGCCTTCTGTTCCTTCTCCTTCCCTCCTGAGCCTGCTCCTTCCCTTTAGTCTGCCCAAGGAGCTCCACTTTGTGTCATCATTGCAGGTCCTTGAGTCTGTAGTTAGAAATGGTCATTGGTCCAAGGCAGGCCAGTCTTCCTACATGAGATACACTTGTCAGTAGTGACAAACAGAGAAGGAGTTATTTTTAAAAACACTGCCTTTCCTCTCCTGTCACCAGGGCCAGGGCTTTCTCTCAGTAGGATGGGCACCCTGTGTGCAGAGCCCAGTTTGCCCTCCTTACATATGAGACATGAGAAAAAGTCTGACCATGGGCTGGGCAGATTTATAACAGATTTGCTGTGAGCAGAAACAGATATATAGAGAGATCACTTCTGTCAGCCACACATCAAAGGCATTTACCATAAAACGGGGGAGAAAAGCAAAAACAACAGGAATTCCCTTCTATCTCTAAGAGGCTGTGTGTATCTTAGAGGCAGCGGCTCTTAGGGGACCCTTGACAGTCTCCTGATAGAATAGCATCGAGTCTTCTCATCCCTCCTGAAAGATGGAAGTCAGAGCATGGGTGCACACATACACGCGCACACCCCTCTACATGCAGGCACATACTTATACACATGTGTACATGTGTTCACATACTGCACACACAGGTAGGCATGTGTTCGTGCACACATGTGCACATATTCACATGCATCCACCCTCGTACATGCACATTCTCACAGTGCTCGCATGCACCTGCCTGCGTACTGCACAGGTGCACACCCTCTTATGTGAATGTACATGCACACCCCCGCAGAGCAGTGCAGCAGTTGTTGAGCCTCGGGGAAGAACTGCTCCCCTCACCTGCTGGGAAATGCACAGCTTCATTCTCAAGGTTCCTTGGAGTCTCTAACCCCAGCCTCTTCTCCTTCCCTGAATCATTGTTGGCTCTGCTTTGAGCTTGCCCTTGCTGTCCCCTCCCTCAGGTTTCTGTCTTTGAGCCTACCTACCCCATTTTGGCTTCTTTTTTCAGTATGCCATGGCCTTTGAGACCAGAGGCCTTGATGACTTCCTTGGAGCTGGTTTCAGAGCTCAGACTTTTTAGAGAGCTGTCCACACCTTGGGAGGTTTGGGCCTGTATCATGGGGTCTTAGGCTGCCTTTGTTTGTGGCTTTGGGCTGTCACACCCGTGCTCTGCTTTGGTCTGTAAGATGCCCCAGATATCCTGTTCACATCAACAGACCTTTAAGAAACACTCACATGACGATTACCTCTCCAGACCTAGCAAGACCCGCAAGCGAGTCAGGACAGGCATTGTGATGCCCTTTATTTACCATAAGAGGAAAGGGAAGTGAGACAGGTCACATGGGCCACCTAAAATCATGCATCGAGGTGGCAGCAGGGCCAGCCCTGAACATGGTGACCTACCCCTACTTGGGCCTCCCACCCCCATAGACAGCCATAATGAGAATCACACTGTGAGATTCAGAATGCTCTGGAAAACTGTCAGTGCTTGTGCAGTGTTTAATCTGTGACCGGCTATGACATATCCTTGTAGAGGCCTTAATGTCTCGTCTGATTCTCTTACCTAGAAGCGATGGCTGAGCAGAAAAGCTGTGCGCTATATACGCTACTGGGTGGTAGGTACCTATTGTGTGGTGGTTGTTGTTTGAGCACTTCCAGTGGCATTTTGCTGTGATTTCATACTAACCTTTAACACTAGCCGTAAAAACTGTAAGCTGTGTGACGCATTCACGCTCAACATCCATCCAGCAGTTGACTTTGTTTTATGAGTTGCATTTGGGGGCAAGCATTTGGCAATTTGGGGATGCAGAGGAAGGTATCTGCCCCACCCTGCTTCTCTAGTTGAGAGAATTAAGTCCCAAAATACACAGTGCCCCCTCTTGTCCCTGTCCACATTGCATGGAGCAGGGCACTTAAACCAGGAGCAACCTGGGAGTTACCTGGTTATTAGTAGGACAGGTCAGCAGATGAGTGAAGGAGGAAGTTCTGCTCAAAGCATTCATATGAGAACACCAGGCATGCCTCTTGTTCTCTTGACTGCTTAGGATGGGAGGTAGCCAAGAGTATATCTGAGTGTTGGGGTGTTTTTTTTGTTTGTTTGTTTTGTTTTTTTAAGAAAATATAGAATTCAACAGGTTGAAAGTGAGGAAATGGAATGTGCTTTTCTGCTCTTCTCGTTGACCTGGCTTTTTCCTGCTTGGAGAGGCCATATGGCCATCATGAGGAGGAGGCCACCTTCACCTGTGAGCACTGTGTGATCACACTCAAGGGCCTTCCTGTCACGTGGCAGAGAGGCGATCCCAGCATGGCTTAGTGGGGAGGAGGTAAGGTGGGCACCCTGCTCCTGGAGGCCCTGTGGTCCTGGTGGTTGAGCTGCAATCCTGTGTGCACAGGCATAGTGGACAGTTTAGACTGCCCAGTGATGGTGGTTTTTCTTACAAACTAAATACACAACTTCATACCTGCACTCACAGAAACCAAGGTGACAGAACATGCTTTTCCAAGATCTTGCCACCCTGCACATGACATGGGACTGAGGTTACCACTTTCCTACCTGGGGCTTGCTTGTCCCAGGGGCCCCAGAGGTTTCTAGAACCTGTCAGGTCTTTGCACCTGGAATTGGCGCCACATGTGAAGCCAGGGCAGGTGAATCTGATGTTGTATCCTTGGCTGCCGAACTGCCTGTGCTATTAGGACACGGAGCCTGCTGGATCAGGTTGGTTTCTGGACAGATGTTGGAGTGAGGGTTTGGGTTCATGTTCTGGCCCTGCTGCCCCTGCTGCTCATCTCCCTGAGGGGCTCAGGGCAAGTGTCTTAACCTTGCTGTGACTCAGTTTTCCTGCTTGAACACAGGACCAACTCTGGCTTAGCAAGTGCCCATGTGGGTAGAGTGCCTGCACAGTGATCATCTATAATGTGACGTGTGTGACAGCCATCACCCACCCCATCCCAGGGTGTGGGACCAGGACACAGGATCCCCCTTCTGTAGGCTCCTTTCCCTGGAAAAGATGGGATGGGCCATATGTTCACAGGATTTATTAGGGATCTTTTCTCCCCACCAGGCTGCAGTTGAGCAGAAATCTTCACAGTTGAGTAAAGTCAGAGCTTGGTTAGCTGAACTACAAGAGGGGTCCAGGGGCCTCTCTGGCAAAGCTTAGGGTTGCCGCTTGTATAGGACCAAATGCACGTTTGGGCCTTATACATGATGTTTTGCATGCACTAGAGGCTGCAGTGTTCACATTCTGGGGTAACTGTGTTGTTGTTTTTAGCTCAATCGAGGTTTAATTGACATATGATAAATACATGTATTTAAATGTCAGCCTGTGCAGTCATAGAGAGGGACACTCTCCACCTGGGAGCCTAACGGAGGTTTCCTGGCAGAGTTCTGGTGTCATACTCATGTGACTAGAGCAGCCCATGGCTCGCCATCTGCTCTTAACCCCAAATCCTCAATTCTTTCTTGACCCCAGCCAGAAAGTACATCCTTGGGGACCATTGTGTCACCCTTTGGCGCACTCACAGGGCTTTGGCACTGAATTCTCTATGCCTGGAAGTCTTTTCTAGAAAGGTCTATCATAATGTTGAGTAACCAGCAGGTGTCTGTTTGGGGTCGAGAGAATTGGTTTCTTCCAGGCAGATGCAAATCAAACACCTTCGAAACCTGTCAGTTGGAGTCCGTGCACACACCTCCCCAGGTAAACAGTGCGTATTTTCTGCAACGGGTAGAGATCGAGATCAGTCAGAACTCACCGCTGAAGAGTTTCTAGGTAAAAGTTGTTGATTTGCAAAGGGAGAAACAGATTTTTTTCAAGTGCAGGAAATGGCTGTGTGGGTGTCAGTGATTGGGCCTCCCGCTCCGCGGCGACAGATAGTGGGACGCTGTGCCCAGCCCCACCCTTGCCACTTCCTGCAAGTGCAGCCCTGCTTTGCGGTTCTTGCAGCGCGCCTGGGTGACACCAGCTAGTGTGCCTTCACCACTAACCAGCCAGTCACCTTTAACCTCTCCACAATTTAATTGTCCTTTTATTACTGCTAATGACCTTTTCACCCCCAGAATAAAGCCATGTACACACTTATGAGGTCTTTTTGCCCCTTTTCCCTTTCCCATAATCCTTCTGATGAACACAGGCAAACGAG